TATATATATATATATATATATATATATATATATATATATATATATATATATATATATATATATCTATCTATGGATTATTACTTATATTTATAAAGTTTCCTCCCAACTGCTTCTATTTAGGACAAGGACTGTTTATGATAGGACCACTATTCTTTCTGTTCTTCACATGTTCCCATACTGCTTCTTTCAGCAGAACTCAATTTATCTATGTACCTCTATAGTTGCAAAACACTGCGATCAAATTAAAAATAATATGCAATTATACACTAACAAGATATGAGTGATAGCTAAATTAGTAGGTCTTAGTCTTACGGTTGAGGACTTTGTACAGATAACGTATCCTCTTAGACAAATCCTTCCATTTAGTGGGCCTTGCAAGTGGGTATACACCGTGTTGCAATACCTTTCGCTTCCTGAGCAAGACCTGAAACTCATTACCACTGACACCCCTCAACCACGCAGGTACGTTGTAAAGAATTCTCGTCGGGTGAAGATTATCGTTGCCTAATATGTCAATGTAGTCATTTTGACCAAAGAGTGCCCGTTTCTCAGCCCAAGCGTCTGCCGGGCGATAGATCGGTAATTGCTTCACTCGCTTATCACTATCGCGGGCCAGAGGACCTTTCATATTGATAGGATCTTTATATCCATGTCGCCGTATCAAGGGTCCCCTTGCCATCTTGTCTGCATGATAGCGAAATCTCACTGACGTTATTTGCGGAGTCCATGTGTTTACAGCGGCACGCAGGGAGTTCACAATCCAGGACATACTGAAAAGAAAACAAGAGCCACATTAATGATAAATAATAGTTGCTACAGGATATGTAACGATAATACTCTCATAACAAGATTAAAGAGTAAGTGTATTATAGGTTGTTATTTAATAAAGTGGTGATTAAGTATCACAGCACTTACTTTTATTAATATAGTAAAATTAAAAAACGTTATCATGTGTTATTTAAACGATACATTCAGTTATACAACCGTAATATATTTCTAATTCCTCGTGAATCTTCTACCGAAAAGGTTAGAATAGGTTATTTTTATGTGATAGAGCTCTATGGTCTGTTCTTTTCAGCTGCATTGGTGCAATAAGTTAAAATGAGATAAAATATATCTATCTTATTCTAACTTATGCGCCAGTGTAGCAGTGCAGCTGAAAAGAACAGACCTCTACTGATGTCTGATTTCTGGTCTGTTCTTTTTAGCTGCACCCTGCTGAACTAATGCAATAAAGGCCGGTTTATGATGGCCGTAATCCGTTAACTTATGCCGGAACCGTAAGAAATTGACCAATCACAGTCGATTATTCTTCTATTATTCGACTATGATTGGTCAATTTTTTATTGACATAAAGTTACGCAATAAAATGGGACGATTTGATTGGCTTAACTCGGACGACGCGACGTGTGACGCGCTAAGTGGGAACGCACCCTTACTGTTCCGTTCCGCTACTTTGTGCTTCATCGGGACGCACTGTAAGTGCTATCGCACACAAATTGACATAACTGCATATGCATAGCATAAGACCGTATGTAGCAATGAGCATCGAGTATTAAGTCGCCATATTGGTGTTCGATGCTTAATATTCGATGCTCATTGGTCCATACGATCTTATGCTATGCATATGCAGTTATGTCAATTTGTGTGCGATAGCCCTAAGGGTGCGTTCCGTTTCACGCATAATGCGCATGAAGCGCAGCGTTAGAGTGACAAAAATACGAAAGTAAGATAAAATGAGAGGGAGAGCACTCGGGTGAGGTTCTCGAATCTAGGTTAGGTTAGTTTTCGAACGCATGAACTGCATCAGCTCCGAGGTAATGCAGTTATGCGATCTCATGCGTTCGAGAACTAACCTAACCTAGGTTCGACAACCTCACCCGAGCTTTCCCTCTCTTTTTATCTCACTCTCGTATCTCTGTCACTCTAACGCTGCGTTTCATGCGCATCATGCGTGGAAACGGAACGCACCCTAAAGCATATTTGAATGTTAACCAAGAAACTCAAATAGGTTATGAAATGTTACGCATGTATAGTTTTATTATTTCACAGGAGAATAGAACGACTTTAAGCCATTCTACAATTGCATAAGCATGATCGTAAAAGCCAACCAATAAGAATATTTTATTCACTGATCATCTTATTCTGATTAGTGTCGTGATCGACTATTAGCGAATTCGATAGCTTGCATTAGTGCGCACTGAGTGCGCGTTAAGGCTTGTTTACAGTACATTCTTATATTTAAGATCGTGTCTTAAATACATATTTAAAAACATTTTAGCAGATAAAATGATTCGTACGGATGTTATATATATCTGGTTAAAAATATTAGAGAATTTATTTAAGACAATCTTTAAATATATTAATATACTATGAACGAGCCTTATTACGCACTCAGTGCGCACTAGTGCAAGCAACCGAATTCGCTATATGCTTATGCAATTGTAGAGTGACCTTTTAAAATGATACATACGGTAGTTGTAACACGTTATAAACTATATGTTCGATCATTATGTGCAAAAACGTAATCGTCAGATCGTATCTTTATAGTGTATATAGATTAGTTTTTGATCCGATGCGTCACTAGCAGGTCTGTGGTCAAGTTTTAGCCATCAGCTGATGCACCGCCAATTGGACACGCAGCTCCACACAAGCGTCCTTTTCCTCGATAATACTGCGTATCAGCGTCGTCATCTTCTTCTGCAATAAGAGAAATAACGCGTGAATGCGTAAGCGCGATGAACATTCGAATTTGTAAAAGGAGAGAACATGTACTTCGAGTAACTGATTCTCCTTGACTAGCTGTATCATGGCCGTCATTTCCGCCTCATTAGGAGAGTGTATTCTTTCCTTGGGCTTCTTCTTCTCCGTGCCACGCTCCGTGAGCATTTCCATCAGTCGTTTGATTTCGTTTCTCTCTTGGCTAATGCGGGACTTCAGTAGCGCTTGCATATTCAACAGCTCTTCGTGGATCAAGCTTTCCCTCAACTTATCTATGACGTCCTCCTCTTCGGGTTCTGCGCATCAAGTTACGGACGTAGTTTCTCGTTTTAAATCGCTAAAAACTACGTACATTCTCAATGATCACGTACCATTCGCTTTGTCATTTGGCGTCGCGTTCTCAGGTTCTCTCGACTGCGGTGTGACCGCCGTCGTTTCCGCGGAATCGACCGTGTCTTTTTCCTGCACATTCGCGCCTTGTTCACTCTGCATCGCGTTTGTACTCGTTCCCGTCGCGTAGGGAGCTTTCTCTTTCGCCTCCTCTACACCATGTTGCTTGCTGTCCTTCCTAACCGATGTCGAATTGGACGATGCTTGAGCATCGTGTTTCGTCTGCGCGGAATCCTCGTCCGCGCTCTTTGGCTTCTGCGAGGTAGACTCGACAGGAACATTCTCGGTCGATTTCACTTCCTCGTCCAGACTCTTTTGCGTCGTGGCTCCTTCCAACTTCTGAACCGTTTTATACTTCCTCTGCAACGGAAACCAAAACAATACGTCGCGTTTCAATCCTCCGTGTACACGACACGATTTCCTAAAGCCCCGTAATAGTTTTACCTTTAATTGTGTTATCATTCGTTGCACTTCCCACAGTTGCTCCTCGCGTGATTTAGTTACGAAACCAGCGTTCATTTGCATGTGAATCTGGGAGAGCAACGACTCCTGCTTGGATAACTCGGCGGCTATGCCCTCCACAGTGTCTGGTAAATTGGTGCTACCGGACGATAGTGGTGGGACGTATTTTGTTAGTTGTACATTTGGAAACAAAGCCTTGCAATGGAATAAGAAAGCCAGCAAGAGCCTGTGACTCATTTGCAGCACTGGGCTTAATGTCATCGAAATTGTCTGCGCGTTCATCTTCGTCGTTTTCTCCTGCGATCATGAAAGAAATTAAATACTAAATAGCAAAAAATGTATCTTACTGAAATATCATGTATCAGATTAATGAGAAAAGCGTTTTCTTTTTAATTCTGTTTCGAGTACAATGGAATCTATCTTAAAAGGAAGATTAAAAGAGACACTCTCAAACGGAAAAAAACCATACTGAAGCCAATAATGAGTCTTTGTATTTTGAGTAATAGAAATTGACTCAAGAAAGATACTATGTAAGATTTCATTTTCATCTTCAGTCGACAAATAGGGGGCCAAATGTTTTGGATGAACAGTCAATGAATAATAATCAAAAATAAAATATAAAGTAATATATTTTAAACGTACTCGCGTTGTGACATGATCCAAATGTAATGTAACCCACGCCAGAAGGACCCTGTTGCATTCCGGTAGTTGCTGCGTGAGCTGCGCCAATTGCGCCTCCCGTTGCGCGACATCTTTAGTCGACGCGGCCTGTTCGAAGCGCGATATCGTTTCGCTGCTCTCCAGCACAGGTTCTGGCAGCTCTCTACATCACCAGAATGCCACTTTTTCGTTTGATCTTAAAACACATGGTGACGAGATAGAATCTCTAAAGATACAAACCTAAGAAAGAGTATCAATAAGCTCGTAGCTACCGTAGGTTCGAATTCGGATATATTCACTGTTTCCCGGTGGTTGTACAGTTTCTTCAAGTGCTGAACCTTCGACTTCACGCCCGGAACTTTATACAAGCCCTCCACGTTCATCCCGTGCTCTTCCACATAGTCGATGCAATCTCGCACCACCAAGGGTAATTCCACTCCATCATGACAGCAACTTCTCTCGACCGCCAGATGAAGACTGACGCCGAAAACCGGTTGCTCCTCTGATGAAACATAATGCGTGCATATGAATAACGAGACCAAATATATTTTAACACTTTGATGGCCGCTGTCATGTGATTTCATTCTGCCAGCAGCTACCATCTTACTCTCAAAATTTCTTGAAGTGAAATTTTATTCGGAAAGTAAAGTAACCACCGAGTCACCAGAATTTCACTCTTACAGAGTGAATTCTTCACTCTGATTCGTTGAATGAATATTTTCATTCGAAATTACAGAATGAATCTGATGTATTCCACTGTCGGAGAAACATTTTCACTCCAATATGTCAAAATATTCATTTATATGGAGTAAAAATCCACTCTAATCTTAAAACGTTCACTCTTCTAGTAATTTCTAGTGGCAATATTTTCACTGCCGCCTTGAATAAAAATATTGCCACTTTTCACTCATTTTAAGTGAGATTTCACTCAAAGAAATTTTGAGAATATAAACAAACATTTACCGATAAAGAATAATTTACAATTATAATATTTGTACATATATATATATATATATATATATATATATTTATATATTTATTTTTGTACACATTTTTATATATTATATATTTTTATATATAAAAAGAAAATATAGATTTCTTTAGATATCGCTTGAGCGAGTTGTCAAAATTTGTTGACAACAATAAAAACTTTCACAAGTGCAACCGTTAAAGTGTTAATTATGTGTATAAATTTTATCGCACAATCTTACCGCCGATATCCGAACCTTCGCCGCCAGCGTGTTTCCCTTTCTTACGGTCTTTCAACTTCTGCTTAGACTTCTCTTTATCCTTATCCTTTCGCTTCTCCTTATCCATATCCTTCTCATCCTTGTCTCTTTTCTTTTTATCCTTTTCTTTCTCAACGTCTTTGTCTTTGGCCTCCTTCTCTCGTGATTTCTCGCGCTTTTCTTTTTTAGATGGAAATTTGAAAGCTTTGGTTTTCTTTGACTTTGAAGGACTTCTGTGTAATAAAAATTACATACTATATGAAAAACAAATTAGATCTTTAAAAAATTAAGAATATCTTGAGAATAATTTTTATTACATCAGCTGTTATTCTGTATATATATTATGAAAACTCTGATGATGAAATAGATGTTCACTGAACAAATTAGGATTAAGATAAGTAGCAGTATTAAGTCATAAACATTCTTTACAAGTCTGCTTTCCATTTAAGATACAAAATTTTAAAACTCAAAAACCTGACTTGACTGTGACAATATAAAGATAGCGCAGTATGGACAAAAAAGATCGAATGACTGTGGATTGATGACCATCAATTCCAATTATGAAGTATGCATTAAATGCTTAGAAATTAGTACAGCTTTGTTCATATATCTATATGTACAGGCATATATGTATAGACATATAGATATATGTTCATATATCTATATGCTTCAACAAAATATAAATATTTATATAAAAATAACTTTTTTAGAGAAACTGATTGAACAAATTCTCTATACAAGTATTAATATTTTTTTTAAGAACTCTATACATAATAAATATCAAATAATAAATAAAGGATACAATAATTATGTATTAATATTATATATTATTTAAGATAAAAAATAATTTAAAATAAATATGATATAATGTTTTGGGCAAATTTAATACTTGGTTTCTTGATCCTCATCTGGTGAACTTTCACCCTCTAAAGTCGCATAGCCTCTGTCCTTTCTATCCTTCTTGTCTTTACGTTTTCCTCCCAGAAGCTCCTTCTTGGAATGCTTGTCATGTCCGCCCTCGTCACTGACTAAAGCACAAAAACCATTAACGATATTGTTATTCCATAAACATTTCTAACACTATAAAGAAGTATTTTTGACTTTTTGACAGATGTATAACCTGTCTGTGTCTTGCGTTATTCATCCGTCATTAGAAATAAAAATACAACATGAGAATAGTTATTACATACAATCACTCTCATTGCTTTTCTTTGCCGATTCGGACGCATACAATCCAGGAAATTCCTTCTCAACGTCAGGACTTTCGAAGTCCATTCTCCCACAACGCACTTCGATACTCGCTCACTTTTGTCTGCCTATCAACTTTTCTTCTCCTTATTATTAGTCTGTTCTTTTTAGCTACACTCTAATACTCGATTATAATACACGTATGTACGGCATGCATTTATTGTATTGTTTGTAAATAAAATATAGAAACGAAAAATAACAATCCAAAATAATAGTAATCCAAAAAAGATGTGCGCGGAAAGAAATTTTATGTTATCACGTTTTATTGGGTGCTTTTCAATTGCTTAACACTTCTGACACACTATACAGAATGCACAAAGTGTAACGTTGTGCACTACTCAATTGGAGCAAAGTAGGTGCTTTCCAGTTGCGTACATTGTGTTATACAAAACCAGATTATTGGTTGCATATTATCTTATAAGATATTTTAGATAATATGTGACCAATAAACTGGTTTTATATACGTGTGTGTCAAGATGTGTTAAGCAATTGGAAAGCACCCAATGCTTGCCGCGCGGCGAAAGTTCGCGCGACAGCCAATCAATATGTTGTTTTTCCGTAAGAGCTAGAAAGTTATTGCGGAAAGCAGCATATTGATTGACTGTCGTGTGGCAAGCATTACCGCGTCCTGTGTGCAGGAGCCATTAGAATGCAACTTATGTCGCCGTGTGCATGAAAGGGATGTCTAGGGATATTGCAATTGGAAAGCATCCACTATAATCACAGTGCAAGTTGCACTGTGCTACAAAAAAGAACAAACTTTTGTATGTATACACGTGTTCCGTGTGTGCGTTGAACAATTGTACGATTAGTAGTGTTTTATTATAATATTTGTATGTATAAATAGAGAGAGAGACTGGAATGAAATAAAATAATTCATTTTCATTGTACGCTATCAATATGGGGGCAAGTATTAATTTTTAAATACGTTTTAATATATCACAAAATCATTATTAGTACCGCCTGGGGTTTCTAACCTCTCAAATATTCAATCTAATCTGTATATTTCATGTACAGAAAAATTATACAGAGATTAAAAGCAGTCTTGTCATCTTTGTAAATTTTGTAAGTAGATTTTCTATATAATTATTGTGTGTAATTTTACAGAAATTAAAAAAACTAAAGATCAATAAAGTTAAAAGAAATAATCATATAAAGACTAAGCTATCGAAGCAAGGAAAACTAAAAAGTAAACGTCATACATCAAAAAAGCAAATTCACAAACCACCAGTACCATGTCCAGAAGAACAAGAAGAGAGTGATCATGGAGAGGACTTAACGGATATGATTGAAGAAGATGATCTAACTTTTTTACAGAAAGCAATATCTAACAAATCTTATAATATACTGAAACAGATTCATTTAAATGGGTATGATTGCATATGATTATAAGCTAAAATTGTCTGTATATATCATTTAATATTTATCATTTCAGACCTGATGAAGAGCAAAAAACTTTTGAGAGGAAAAGGAAGAAAACTGACAATAGCCAACCAATAGAGGAATTATTTGAAAATAATATTTCTAAAATCATGAAAGACAATGTTGGGAAGTCTGTTCGCATGCTACTTCCTATAAAAACAAAGGATGGCTTTGTAAAAAAACATATTATTGAAGAAAATGAAACTTTAAATGACAATGAAAGTACTAGCAACAATAATGAGGAAGAAAGCAAAGAGAATGATAAAGAGAACAATAGCGACATAGAAATGGAAGTAGATATACATGTAAGATTGAAATTGAAATTCCAATACTTAGAAAATCTACTCATATGAAATATGTTATCTATTAATAAATTTCAGAATAATCTGGAGAAAAAAGATAAAAACGATAAACCAGTATCCACTATTGAACTTCTAGCATGTCGCGAAGAGATATTGAAATCTAAACGTTTCAAAATAGGCATACTTTCAAGTGGCATCTTGGAAAATCCAGAAAATAAAATCGGAAATTTTAAAATGCTGCTAGATTTCATGGACGAGAGAAAGCCAGAAATTTACATCACTGTGAGAAAAGTGACGATGCTATCTCTGTTGGAGATATTTAAAGATTTGCTGCCATTATATAATATAAAAAAAGTTTCTGAAAAAGAAGTAAAATGTATGTACATTTGTATTTACAAAAGAGGAGTAAAATAACGTGCATTGTTAATTCTTCCAGACGATAATATCTGATTCTAGTGAAAAAGGAGATCCTTGCCCTACAGAATTACGAAGCTACATTATTAAGAATTTACAAGAGCTATCTACAAAGACTCGAGAAGATGTCGAAGATCTTGAGAAGGAAAAGAGGGGACACGCGACCGATGAAGGAACAAGAAGTGCAATTGGGAGAAATAGCTGTGTCGTGCATGTGCGAGCTTCTAACCGTCCATCCGTACTTCAATTTTTCCGTTAACATAGCAAGTTACGTTCTTTCCTTCTTGGATAACAAACGTAGTAGCGTGAGAGAAAGAGTAGCGCAGTGCATCTCCCAAATATTCAAAGAGGATAAACGCGGCGAACTGTCTCTCACAGTAAGAATATATTGTGATAAGAGAAACTGTTTTACACATATTGTATAATATAACTTTTTAATTATGTTTTTAATTATGTTTTATAAAAATTCCAGATAGTCCGAAAATTAAATCAATATATCAAGGCAAAGAAACATTCGGTTTATCCTGAAGTTATAACAGTGTTGTTATCTCTTCGCATAAAAGACGTGAATTTAGATAAGGAAAAGGAAGAGGAAACGAAGCAAAAGAAGCTCATGTCTCACAAACAGAGGATCCTCGCGTTAAGCAAACGGGAGAGGAAAAAGAGCAAGAAACTGGAGCAAGTGGAGAAAGAGTTACTTGAGACGAAAGCTGAAGAGAACAAGCAGGCGAAACAAAAGATGCTCACAGAAATAACGAGCATAGTATTCACGATATATTTCAGAATTTTGAAACAAGCCCCCAATAGCAAAGTGTTGTCCGCATGTTTAGAAGGATTAGCTAAGTAAGATCATTGACACACACGCGGACACATAAACACACACACACACATACACACATATTACCATCATTTTCCATGTATCCGAGTCTCGCCAAGCTACATATCGTTTTACATCTTGTGAATTTCAGATTCGCGCACTGCATCAATATAGATTTTTATCAGGACTTAGTGGGCGCTATAGATAGATTAATAGAAGAAGGTAACCTGGGATTGAGGGAACAACTACATTGTGTTCAATGTATATTTACAATCTTATCTGGTCAAGGTACAGCGCTGAATATCGACCCGTATAGGTTTGTATATAACCGCCGGCAATGTTGCTCTGCGTATTCTATATGTAAATGTATATGTATGTATACATATATATGTATATAGGAAAAATTATACGCCTTTCCGATTTATATTTTCTGCCGTAGATTTTACGCGCATCTGTATAAAAATTTATTGAACGTCCATTGTGGGAGAACGCACGCGGAAAGTGAAATTGTACTGAAGACGTTGATACAAATTCTCATTCATCAGAGGAAGAAGATCACGCAGGCTCGTGTGATAGCCTTCGTGAAGAGAATAAGCACGTGGGCTCTACAGTCGCAACACAACACAACGCTGGGAATACTCGGTATCGTTAAACAAGTCATGCAACTCGGGAAAGCGGCTCACGGTTTACTGGACACCGATTGCACCGGAGACGGTCATTATCAGTCCGAAATCTTAGAGCCCGACTATTGCAACGCGCATTGCACCGCGTTGTGGGAAATTGTTGCGTTACAGGTACATCTTATTCAATGCGACAGTTTTTTTCTGTTTCGTTCGCCGAACAATCGAGAGCGACAGGTAATATAATACACATATTCTTTACAGCGTCACTATCACAGTGTGGTACAACAACTCGCTAAGAATATAGCATACGCGGTACCTACGAGTGGTGAAGGTAGTCTGCCTACCGAAATTGCGAAACTGTAAGTACCAATTTTGCCTAATAATCCGCATAATTATAGAAAATCTTATTTCGTATCACTTTATTACAATTATTACGAAGAGATAAAGCTGGATCAGATTCTTTCTTTTTTTTCTTCTTTCTATATGAATTATTTTGTTAATTCTAGAACACCGAATGAACTTTACACGGAATATGATCCTGCGGGTGTAGCGTTTAAACCTAGCGTACCTGTTCCCAGGAATACCGTTAAAAAAGCATCGATAAATAATAATTATACAAGCAATAACTTAGAGCAGTATCTCAATGCCGTTAATGTAGACGATCTGTTTGTAGGCGAACATGTAGACTTTTACAAAGCCTATAAAAGTAATTTGTAAAGTGTTATAAAAGATGAAATATATGTGTGTATATATATATATATATATATATATATATATATATATATATACATATAAAAATAAAGGAATGTTTTTTTTTTCTATATAGCCAATAAATTCTACAACGGTAATTTATAACAAAAGAGGATGATTAATGATGCTTTAATACAGAATCGATTATATTCTGTATATTTTTTTGCAACAGTTTGATTTTTCTCATCATCATCCTAAAGAAATCACCTATTTTGTTATAAAATATATCAGCTATTTGATATCTATATTTATCGACGAGGAAACTTGAACCTTCGATGATTATTATTTAATAAATATCAATCAATCAGCATGGAGATCCGACCGATAATATAGATACCATTGAAACAATGTCCTTTTAAACGATCATTCAAAATATGACAATTTACTTCTCATGTACAATCAATTTTAAAATTACTACATTTGAAAATTAGAGCAAACGTCACTTAATGTCTCGTAATATTGATCTTATATTTCGTTTATCTATCTAGTTTTTATGAAGCGTGATGTTCAATGATAACATTAACGTAATACAATAATAATAATTATATATTCTTAAATGAGTCTTTCGCATGATAAATTTAATGATATCCTCATGTACATCATTCACATTATTCGTAATTCACTTGAATAATATAGTTCATAATAGATCTTTACTTTAATAAATTTTAAGTCATGAATGTATATATTGTGATTTTTGCTTCTGCTCTCGTACGATTCGCTCTCTCTTTCTTTCTCACTTACCACACACACCCACATCCACCCGCACATACGCACACACTCTCTTTCTCTCGCTTTCCTATAATGGTATGTCAATATAAGAATTTGTAATGTTATAAATCACTGCTTTCAAGCTGCACACTTGTGTGTACAATGCTCTTACTCAACTAATGTCTTTAAACAAATGTGGATGTTCGCCGTGCATGAGAATAAAATGGAACGGTATACGTCGTTATAAATAAAAACATTATTGGCTTCCTATTCTAAAGAAACGCGCACGTATCAAAAGCTAACAAAATGATATATATTTAGAGAAATTTTTCTCTTTTGTCTGAAATTATAATAAAATTTACATACGAGGAATTTCTAGAAGTATGTCACGGCATATATACGTATGAGAAATATGTAATTTACAAAAGGTTCTAGTTTAATTTTGCGCGCATGTTAACATAAAATATTTAAAATAAAATTAAAAGCCACTCAATTTACGCATATACATAATATTTTGTGTATGATGATACATTATTAAAAAAAAAAAATACGTAAAGCATAATCTTCATATAAAAGATACAAAGGCAATTTTCATAGAAATTAATAAAGAATTGCGCAACAAATAAATACGCAAATAGAAATATATGTATGTATGTATGTGAATATATATATATATATATATATATATATACACACACACACACACACTCTACAGCCAGATGTCCAGGGGACATCCAAAGTACATCCTGAGGACATTTCTTTGTCCTCAGATCTTATGCTGTTGGGTGTGTATATATATATATACACACGCACATACATACATATATATATATAAATCTAAGACAAAAGTCACCTACTCTTTTGAATGTTTCATAATCATCATATTTCTCTGTGTAACAACTATAAAAAAAATGTAAAGAAATAAAATATTCTACGAGTGAAGGATATGAAGAGGATGTGCTTCGAAGTCAAATAATATATATTTGTTTTATAACTGTATAAAGCATTATATAATTATAGCCAATTCCCTTTGTACTTAACATGTATATTTTTTGCATATTAAGTACAAAGTATATATATCTATTTCTGATCTTTTTAACGTCCAGGAAAAAAAGTTCGAGTATAAAGGTAATAATAAAAGAAAAAAAAGTCACTAATTCTATTTCAATCATAGTCAGAATGTACATTAAAAACACTAATGTGTATAAAATCATAAGTGCGTCGTGAAAATAAACGAACCTTACGTTTAATTTCGCGATTATTATAAGTATTATTACAAACCAATATGCGATGCGTATTTGATTAAGCGGTTAAAAAAACAACTGCGAAGAATAGGAAGCCAAGCGGTAATGCTTATGTAAAACGGTAGTATTTATTTTATTATCTTTATACTCATCTAAAGCCATAAACTTAATTTCACCATAATTTAGAGTTTCACTCGCACACACATTCAAGCATTTGGCAGGCAAGAGCCTAGAAGAATCTAATTCAGAGAGAGCAGTATCACTACGAAGTCATCATATCACTGACAGAATTTGCAGATACATTAGGTCCTTTCAGGGCATCATTTATGTCTCTTCTAAACATTGATAAATTTTGTGTAAACCTGTAAGAGAACAAAACGAGAGTCACAAGGATGCGTTGAAATGTGCTATTAACAGTCGCCTCCATCTTCTTACCTATCTCTATTTTTTGTGAGTAGATTCCTTTCAATCCCATTCATTAAATTTTCGAACCATTGTGCCATTGCTGCCTGCTTGTCAACTGGCTGACTTCTAATAATACTTTCCCTTAATTGATTAAAATACTACAAATAAACAGAGAGAAATATTAACAGAAAGAAACTTTAATAGACGACGGAACAAAGACGTCGTGAAAAGTTGCATATTTAACTTGTTACGCTATAATAAAAGTGATATTATTAAAATGAGACTAATGATATTATCATAATAATTCTAACGCAGAACAACTGCAAGCTTACTTCTTCGTTCAACAATATGAGACCTAACAGAGGGCGAGACATGCTCCATTGACTCCTACAATCCTCAAACATTATCACATTTAAAACAGTACTTAGGATTTGTTGTAATATTTCAGGATGTTGTTTCAAAACTTCTAAAAATAGATCTCCTCCTCCAGGAACAACAGCATTTTTCCTCCCTGGGTAACCTGATAACATACAGTAAACAATGTCGATACGATGTGTTCGCCATAATTTTTCACGATAATGTATCTCTATGCAACTGTGACCTTACCTTTTTGATAAAGCTGTTTAAACAAATACGTTACAATGTGATCGAGAGTTGCACAACAACCCGTACAGACCATAGTATCTGAAATCAGAAGATCTTGTTTTTATATCTATCGCAAGAAAAACAATAAATACATACAATATCATAACGCAATATAAAATACATGCAACCAAATTGGCAGCATTTTTTTCGCAAGCTTACTAAAATCTACCTACCTTCCTTCACGTATCATTGATATTTTGTGAACTTACAATACGTGACTGCATAGTTAGATAACAAAGAATTTCTACAAGAGTTTACATTGAGAATGCAAGATTTTTATACGATTATTAATTATAATTCCATACTGTGTAGTCATTACTAAACAATATAGAATTTTACATTTTACTATCGAAGGCTACATTGTGGCATTATTATCCAAACTAATACTGTAATAAAACATGCAATTGTTTGATTAGTAAAATTAGTATAATCACAAAATATGATCTAATAAAATAGTGTTAAAATATTTAGTAGTATGCCAGCTGTGCGGCTGATTATCTGTGCTAGACCCATTATTCGATTTTGCTCTAATAAAAATAGAAAATCACGCAACACTCATGGTGCATGTCGTAGAAAGTACAAGCTATGCAATTGTCGTATATCGAAATTTATCGTATTTAGGGTCCAGACTCCACGCACTCCAATCCTCTTATAGCCAATGTTATTCATAAAGTGTTCTCAGTAGTTTTTTTTGTTGTGCAAAATAAAGTATTCGATATATGCATCTGTTTCTTGTATTTTGAACTGTTGCAATTGTGGCTAATGTCTATAGGCAGATTTGCATTCCAAGCGATAATGCAAAAAGCAAGAAATATTAAAACATGTAGTTCCAAGGTGATATCACGAAAAAAAAAATCATTAAAATCTTATGTAATTGCGTTCACAACAGTGAACGATCGACGCACGTCAAATCTCTATGTGCGATACATAGAAAATAATAATTCTAAACGTAAAATACAATTGCAAAAATGTATAATGAACTTGTTTTTCTATCATAACTAATGTAATGTGAAACGTATTCCGTTGAGCCAATGGCTTTCTCGATATTCAATTTAAAAAATAAATGATCAACATGCAAAACTCTGCTTGAAGATCAACGTTAAACACTCATTGCCTTTCCTTTGTGTGTATATATATATATAATCTTTGTGTAACAATCCTTTGTGTAACAATATATAATCTACATAATCTATATAAGAGAAATTTGATCTCGAAAGTTATCAGCGAACTGAGAAAAACTAAAAAAGTTTCTGTTACAAAGTGTTTGAACTCGCAGGAATTCGCCTGGGTGGTTTAAAATGATTTCAGTCTCGTGGTGTAGTATGGCGTCGAGGATATAGAGAGTAGTAGTAGAATAGAATCAGCCGCACAGACCTGTGTAGGAGTCTTTTTGCGCACCTAGAGCTGTAAGGCCTTCGCTGATGCTGGAGAGGATGTACAAAAAAACTCTAGGTTCCAAAGTAGATAAAAAGACCATGTGATCTTGCGCCAGACATTCGAGTAACATATAATACGTTGCTGACAGCTTCGGGTAATCCTATTGAAAGTAATATGCAAATGTAACATATGGACGATGAATAATTGCAAAACTTATCACGGTACATTAACCCACATACACATCTAGACTCTATTCTCGTTCCGGGACTTAATATATCCTACGCGTAATCTCGCAAATTTTATGAATGTTTCTATATGTGCACATTACAGAATCGACACTTACCAAGAGATCGCTCTGTGGAATACTAAGGAGCAATTTGACGAATGTATTAAGAGCATTGTCTAACGCTTCGTCGCCATACAACCTAAATACTCCAAAGTTGACATAAGATCCACACAATGCCGCCTTCAACATGCTGAAGCATATACTTATCCCTTTGAGTTTCAAGGGATAAATCTGATCCTTGGGTACTTCGACGTTCAATATGTGATTTCCGTAGCTACATATTACTTTGCTGGCCTCACGGAACAACAGGATTCCATTCGGAGAGGATGCATCGAATTGCAATCGTTGACTTCTATTTTGTACTAACTCAGCGAATAATTTTAGGACGGGCGTTGTCACCTGTGGCTCATGATGCCACAGCTCCACGGCGTGTAATAAAATCGGCGTGTAATTTGGGTATCTAATTGGAGTTCAAAGAAGATATATGATGTAAGAATATCGCCGGTGATGTAATGCAAACGTGCAGATACACATTGAAAACGAAAGGATACATCCAATCAAAAAGCATCATGTAGGATATCTTGGTGTTGAACGCGTAAGCTAAGCCTCGTAGATCTCTCGCTAGACCGATTAACGCCTTCTTCGCTTCTTCAGCTGCAAAAAGAGGTGTGTCCGCAGCACCCATTAATTGACCGAGACTTTCCAGCGCACCTGCAATTATATCGGAAGAAATTGGACGTATTTCCTCGACATCATGTTTTCAGTAAGAAAATATTGGTTACAAGTCGATATGAGTCGGCTTCCTTACCTGTCAGAGGTAACATAAAGGTATGGAATCTCTCCTCGTCTTCGCCTAAATCTACCATCAGTAATCTACCAAGAGATGTGTAGAACATTGATCTACAGCGCATTTCCGTCACAGCAACGTTGTTCCCCAAAAACGGGAAGTGTTCTCGCTGGAGAATGAATAAGATTTTAACACGTTAGATTTATGCTGCAAACTCGTTGGTCGGATTACTCATTATTAGCTGTTATCTGACAGAGCAATAGACTTCTATACGTACCGTATGATTGTTGAGCATAAATTGTACTTCTTCTAGTTTGACGAGTTTACGAACACAACTATAGCCCACAGACAAGTCATTTAGAAGTTGTAGCGTTTTTGAAATAATTTGTTCACTCCTACCCCAGTATTTCAGATTTGTTATTCTGTAAATCGCAATGTGATATCATTCTGGTTATATCCAATCTTGCGACCCATATAAAAAAAAAACACATATGCATACATCCCTTTTACTTACATTTTTCGGATAAAAATGCTGAGTACCATAGCCTCGTCATTAAGACCCAACACATCTGATAATCTTCTGTACACTTTAGAGTTCTTTTGAACTTGATCGCCTACATAAATCTTACGAAACTGTTCGAAAAAACTCAACATCGCTAATTCCAATTTTTCACAGCCACCTTGCGCGAGCCTGGAGTCTGTTAGATTCATTAATTGCAGGACTCGGCAGACCAGTTCGCCGTCCATGGCGTCGAACTCCTCGTTGCTGTTAAATGCGACTCTACCACCGATCACACCGCCTATGAGAGATTGAAAAAGAAAATGTTTACGTTCGCGTTAATATTGCCGATTAGCAAGATCGATACGTGTGGATGTGATTTCTTTACCTATAATGTACACCAGCCACGTGAGCTGTCCTTCCTGAATCGCAATATCAATCTGCTGAGTAGGAGTTGCTGTTTGCGTCAGTAGCTCTTGATACGTTGTTGCTGCCTGATCGAACAATTGAACCAACAAAGTACACGTTTTTTGATATTCGCATCTACCAATGACGGATATCTGTTCCAGCTGATGATGAACTACTCCTAAATCGTCCAGTGGATCCTCCAGATGCTCTCTGACTACCACTGCAACCGACTCGAGTCTCGATGTAATATACGCATTCGCCACCTCGGGAGTGTAGGTGTTCAACAGATGCGGGTCGTTGGCCTTTACGTACGGCATAGAAGACACCATTCTCTGCCAAAGAGTCAACAGGTAGTGCAGACTGTTCGGAGCGAACTGCCACATTTGCAGGCTTTGAACTGTGAACTTTGCGATAAGCTGTATTGCTTCGGGATAATCTTCCACGATGACCAACTCGCCGAGCTGAAAGTTGCTCTTCAGTCGGGACAGTAATCTACAAAACTCATGATAGTTCCCCGGGTCGCTGAGACCCTGAGGATTTTGTAATATATGTTTTACACCGTTAACCAAGTGCGTGAGGAATTTCGCTCTTTCGGTATTGGAGAATAGACTTCTTCTGACGGAAGCTATTTGCACCAAGCACGAGAGCGCTAGACACGATAACGTATTAGGCAGACTGTGATACAGGTCGAAGAACAGCTTCAATGAGGTGAAATCCAAAAATGCAGGTCTCCAGCTTGTCGGGATTTGTACTGTGTTAAGATCGTCCGAGCTCTCGTCAGTTGATGTGCCAATGAAGTCGAATGTTAAACAATTTTGTGCAAGCTTCAACAGTTGTCTTATCAAACCATGCTGAGGAGAACAAACATACAAATTAGTACAAATATTAGTATTAAATTCATGTACATATATAACACCTTATAATTATATATATATATATATATATATATATATATATATATATATATATATATATAT